AAAAAAAACGTTATTTTACATCATAATAATATTTCACAATATGACATTTTGTCCTGTATTTTTGATCAAATAAATGCAGCCTTGATGAGCATAAGAAACTCCTGTAAAAAACATTAAAAATCGTTCTGATCCCAAACTTTTGACCGGTAGTGTATTTACAATGTTGAAGCTCTAACAAATTAAATTATTAATTGTTATCAGAGAAAAAAAGTGTAGGTTTAGACTTAGTAATTTAAGATTTACTGATGGTAAGCCACAGTCGGTATAGAATTTAGAACATTTCAAATGCTTTTCACTAATAATGTCAACTGAGAAGCAATTTCAAGTCACTTGTTCAGTCTTCAAACATCAAGTATGGTTTTAACATGGAGTTTGTTTTGTGTTTTTCCTATGGCTGTAGAGAATGCTGGCTCTCTGAAAGTCCTGTTTGGCACCCCAGAGTTTGTGGCTCCAGAGGTGATTAATTATGAGGCCATCAGTTACGCGACAGACATGTGGAGTATAGGAGTGATCTGCTACATCCTGTGAGTGCACAACAATTATGAAGAGAAATTACCTTTATGGGCAGTGGATCATACCCAGACCCTCATGGAATCTGCAGACTTTATCCCATTGTCAGTGCAATTCGATTTTGTGCCATTTTCTGTGCTGATCTTGGGGTCAAATCTGCAGAATTGTGTGGAATAAATATAAATATGCGCTGAGAGTACAGCACTCTTATTGGTAACTGGAAGTCTAATTAAAAAATTTATGGCAGCCCTGTAATTCGTCCAGCATGTTCCCTTCAGATGTATAAAGCCTCGTAATTAACTTGTTCCAGTTTTGTGAAAATCTGTATTCAGTGTGGGCCTGCCCTTGTGAGAAAGAAAAACACTTTATCATGTTTTTTAAAAAACTATGAATTACCAAAATAATATGCTTTAAAATAATATACTTAAGTGTGAATTCAAATTAAGTACTTTAAGGCCCGGTTTCACAAACGGGGCTTAGCTTAAGTCAGGACTAGACCTTAGTTAAATTAAGATATTTAAGCAACTTTTACAAAAATGCCTTAGAAGAAAACATTACAGGTGTGCGTAATGACACTGACATATTTTAAGATATGTCAGAGCAAGATATTTTCAGTTGAGACAGCTCAAACATGCATTTTAGTCTGGGACTAGCTTAAGTTTAAAGTTGCTTTAGTAAGTTAGTCAACACTAAAATAAGTGTACTTGTTTAAAGCACAACAACAGACTATTAACATAATGATTTAAAATGTGCTTATTAATACATCATTACAAAATGCATGTTTTAACACAGTCATAAAATGTACATTTAAATGACCTTTTATTTCATTATTAAATTATACAAGTATGTTTTTTTTTTCAAATACACTTTTAAGATTTGAAGTACACTACAAGTTCACGTTCACTACTGTTAAGGTCACTACTTTTCTAGTGATCATCCCACACCATTTCACAACATTGCTGGGAAGAATGTGTGAGATTTGTTTGCTTAACATTCTTTCCTGTTTGAAATAAAACAGTAAAAATGTGTTTACTTTCATTGGTTTAACCCAGTGTAGTCAGTTTGATTTAGTCCTATTAATAATATAATAATGCCTACTGTATAATATTCGAAAATTATCAACATGATCAAAACTTTGTTGAAAACCCTGTTGATAGTTTATACTTTTTTAGCAAGTAAAAGGTCTTATAGTATAATTGTACAAAGGTCCCTTCTCAGGTCATGGTACACTTGTCTTTTTGTTGTGAAATCTTTAATGATTTTTTTTATAAATTAAACATTAGAATAACTAATATTGTTAGTAATATTTCAAGATGAACATCTAGTATATTATTTCAACATACTGGACTGAAGCAACTTAACCCTTTAAAGGGCAAGACCATAAAGAGACATCAGAAAATCCATCTTATTGGGACTCAAATAATACAATTTCATGATTTTATTAAAAACTTGATTCTTATTTTTGATTGTAATGTTTGTATCCCCCAGGATACGTTGCCACTTTGGGGTTATAAATTCACTGAAAACAGAACACTTGTTTATCAATGCTTGTTACAACATTTTAAACAAATTTGGAATACAGACCTAAGATTGGTCTCTTTTTAAAGATGACACATAGCAGATTATTGCTGAAGTGAAAGTGTTTTAAAAAAGTATAAAAAGTATAAAAAGGTAATAGAAGTTTAAGTTTACAGTAAAGATAATGTAGTATACTATTTTTTATTTTATATAAAATACATATTTTATCAAATATGTTGCACTCTAAAGTTGCTATAAAATCAAAGCCATATGTCTAACCAAGTTATGTTCCAAATTTGAAGTTGATATCACAAAAATTGTGGTTGCTGTGAGATTTTGTTTGGCCACTATACCAAAAATAACCACTGGGTTACACCCAAACTCTGTTGAAATTTTTTTTATGCAATTTTCTGTCACAAATCAATCAATTTCTGTCACAATATCACTTCTATTACAGAACAGTCACCAAATATGCAATCTTGACTGTCAGACCTTTCCAATGATATGTGTTTTGTCAAGATTACAAAAAGATTAGATTTTCTAAAACACAAGCCACAAAATAGTCTATATATAGTATATGTTTTCATAATCTTGATTTATACCCCTAAAAGGGCGATGTATCCCCTGCGATACAAACATTTAGAGACCGATTACAAAAAAATTAAAGCATTTAATTCATAAAATTTCAATGTAAACCTAATAAGCTAATGCTGAACAACAGCTTTTATAACAGGTAAGTCCCCTCCAACATGTGTAAATATGTGAACTAGATCAACTTTTATCAGAGGGTGAGTAGATTTCCCACTACAGGCGGCCATGCAGTTTTAAATGCTACCCATGAGCTAAACAAAGATTGTATGAACAAAGTCAATATATCTAAATATTCACAACAAACACCCTTTCAACATGAAACCAAGAAATGAGACCTACACTTTCCCTGCCTCTCCCCACAGCCTCTCAAATGTTTGTATCCCACAGGATACGTCGCCAGTTACTTGATTTTGATTTTTTTTTTTTTTTTAGAAAAATCATGTTAAAATGTAACTATTAAATTTGATATACATCCGTTATCAAACTACTATATGAAGCATAAAATCCTGATTGTGTCTAATATAATACTTAACAAATGTCACGAGTCCTCCTTCACTTCTACACTCCCTCACTCACACTCTGCACTGACAACAAAACACATACTTAATTTAAAAAAGCATTATAATACATTATAAATACATTAACTCATGTTAGAACAGTGTAGAGACTGTAAAACCACACATAACACCCTAGTAACCATTTTGCTACAAACTTAAAAGCACTCCAAAGTCTGCAACTGCGCAGCAAAGCCCTGACAACCGTTTGACAGTTTTTATAGTTCTACTTCTATTTTTCTTTTATTGTTTCACTTTAGCGTCAGTGGTTTATCTCCCTTCATGGGAGACAATGATAACGAGACGCTGTCTAACGTGACCTCAGCCACGTGGGACTTTGAAGACGAGGCATTCGATGAGATCTCAGATGAGGCCAAAGACTTTATCGGTAACCTGCTGAAGAAAAACATGAAGTGAGTGCACATCTCTGCTTCATTTGAAATGATAACTGTTCCCTTGTCCTTGAGTCGTTCTGAACGTCTGGTTTTATTGATTTCCTCCGTCTTGCGTCATGCATCGGTTCTCCCTGAGGTTCTGCAGCAAGGTTCAGTTGTCTGTCTGAGTTTATACATTTTCTTTTTACAGTTTCATCAGTGTATTTTTCTCAGCGCTCTTTCTCTCAGCAGTGTGTGTAATTAACATGATGCACAGTTACACCGTTTTTTTTGTCTTCAGAGCCCGTCTGAGCTGCGATCAGTGTTGCCAGCACCCCTGGCTCAAACAGGACACCACCAACATGGAGGCCAAGAAGCTTTCCAAAGAGAGGATGAAGAAATACATTCTGAGAAGAAAGTGGCAGGTCGGGGTCTAGAATGACGATAATCGGACTTCTCCCTGAGGTTCTGCAGCAAGGTTCAGTTGTCTGTCTGAGTTTATACATTTTCTTTTTACAGTTTCATCAGTGTATTTTTCTCAGCGCTTTTTCTCTCAGCAGTGTGTGTAATTAACATGATGCACAGTTACACCGTTTTTTTTGTCTTCAGAGCCCGTCTAAGCTGCGATCAGTGTTGCCAGCACCCCTGGCTCAAACAGGACACCACCAACATGGAGGCCAAGAAGCTTTCCAAAGAGAGGATGAAGAAATACATTCTGAGAAGAAAGTGGCAGGTCGGGATCTAGAATGACGATAATCGGACATAAACTGTTTTCTTGATGTATTATTGATAGTCTGAGTAAAATTAGCTTCTCGCGGTGTGTTTCGAATCGTAAAGTTCTGTTACTGATGTGTTGGTGAATATAAAGTCATAACTGATAGTTTTGCACACTGCTCTCCAGAAAACAGGGCATGCGGTACGAGCTATCGGTCGACTGTCAAACATGGCATTGATGGCGGGCGTTCATGCCAAAAAGGGCTCCCCCACTGAAGGTGCACAACGTTTCTGTCCTCACCAACCCTTAAATAAAAGACAAACACTGCATCGGCTAGTGAATTGTTAACACAGTCATTGTTTGTGATAAAGAAGTGTGCTTACTGAAAATGTGTGCTTGTACTGTACATCAATCTTAAAATTATATTACATTTTCTGCACTGTCCTTGCAGATAATATAATATTAATACAATAAAAGGCTACTTAAGTGTAGAGTACACTTTCATGAGTATAGCAGAAAACAAAGATAGAAGAAAATAAAACTAGAGGTACTTCGTATTGCATGGAGGGAAAGTACTTCTTCCTACAAAAAATCCTTAAAAACTGCTAGATCTGCTTACTTTTTTGGGTAACACTTTAGAATAGGGAACACTTATTCACTAGTAACTAAGAGTTTTCCCTGAACAAACTCCTAATTTGCTGCTTATTAATAGTTAGTAAGGTAGGTGTTAAGTTTAGGTATGGAGTGGATTAAGGGATCTAATATATGGTGATGCAGAATAAGGCATTAATATGTGCTTTATAAGTACTAATAAACAGCTAATATGCTAGTAATATTTGTACACTTTAAATTATTATGTTTTGTGTCATGCTTTAAAGAAGTATACTTATTTTGATGTGTTGACTAACATACCAAAACACATGTGAAGTACTTATAAATTTCATTATAATTATAATTTTAACAGAACATAATTTTAACTGTAGTGTTATTCAATATTTAAAAATGCTATTTGAAATGTATTTCATTTCAAAATTGCATTACATCATTACAGTTTAATCTGTCATTTAAAATTCAAAAATATATTTGAAAACAATGCAAGTTTCAATAGAAATTACATTCAATTATTTAGATTTTAATTTATATTTTAGTTTACTTTAAATGCTTGTCAGCACATTCATCAATGCACTTTAACCATATTTCAAAGACAATAGAAGTAATTATGAGATTACATATAAAATGTACCCACGTCTTACTTAAATTAGTCAAAAAAGTACTTTAAATTTAACTAATTTTATATTAGCACTTAATATACATTTAAAATTAATTTAATTGAAAACAACATGCAATGAGCAATGAAGTGCCTGAAAAAATTACATCTAGTTCGCACTAACAGTAAGAGTATTCTTTTAAAGTACATGTTAAAATACAAATGAGTTGTGCATGTTAATGTAAAGTCTGTGTATTTATATTCAAAATCTTCCTGAATGTCTGTCGTAGCAGAGGATAAAGAGTTTGCTGCTGAAATGGAGGAGAAAACTCTAATGAAACCCACGTTCAGCTCTGTTATTAAAGACGTTGAGGTGGTGGAAGGCAGTGCTGCTCGATTCGACTGCAAAATCGAAGGTACAATTACATGATTATGCACTGCTGAAGCATTCAATTGATAAAATATGGTGCATGGATTAAATGTGAATATTGAATTAAAATATTGAAGATGACTTTCCAATATGCTTAACGTTTTGTGTCTGTACTTTGGGGTGGTAAAATGTTTTAATTTTTTTGAAGGAAGTCTCTTATGCAGTAAAATAAATAAAGTCATATTATGAAATATTATTACAATTTAAAATGACGGTTTTCTATTTGAATATATTTTAATGTAATTGATTCCTGTGATCAACGCTGAATTTTCAGCATCATTACGCCAGTCTTCATTGTCACATGATCCTTCAGAAATCATTCTGATATGCCGATTTGCTGCTCAAGAAACATTTCTGATTATCATCAATGTTGAAAACAGTTGTGCTGCTTCATATTTTTGTGGAAACCATAAAACAAAAGAACAGCATTAATTTGAAGTAGAAGTATTTTGTAACTATGCAAATGTCTTTACTGTCAGTTTTGGTCAGTTGAAAGTGTCCTTGCTAAATAAAATGTAGAATATTTTGGTATCCATGCATTTTGCGTCAAGTTATTTATATAGTTTATTTGATATGTATATTTTGTAATTATGCACTCTCAGGTTATCCTGACCCAGAGGTGGTGTGGTTTAAGGACGAGCAGCCGATAAAAGAGACGCGCCATTTTCAGATCGATTATGACGAAGATGGAAATTGCAGTCTTGTTATTTCTGAGGTCAGCGGTGATGATGACGCAAAGTACACCTGCAAGGCCATGAACAGCGTCGGGGAAGCCACCTGCATCGCCGAACTCATCGTGGAGGTGATGGGAGGAGAGGAGGAGGAGGAGGAAGAGTAGAAGACAACCTCTTTTGTCACGTTTCTCTTTTTCGCTTGGTGCCTTTTTCTCACTGTCTTTCGGACTTTCAGATGATGAGGATGATGATGATAATGATGATGAAGACCTCAGATCACCTTTGGCTGCATATCCTTTATTGCACTTCTAATTTGTTCTTTTTGTATTTATGCAACAGCCAAAGTCAGATATCAGATTTGTTTATCACATGACGTCAATATTACTCACATTCCATTGGTTGCTTGCTCTTAATTGTCATGTTTTACTCCAACCAAACATTTCTAAAGTCACATGTGTGTTTGTGTGATCATCGCTCGTGACCGTGTGAACTGAGCAGCACTTCCTGTCTGTTAGCACAGCTTTACTAAGGCACTGTAAACTCATGTAAGGTTGTGTGTTTTTGTTTGGAGACATTTTCCTCCTTTCACCATCTGTCATAGTAGCAGCACTCAACAGATATTTGGAGACATGCTAAATGTGTGTTTATTTTATTAGGAATGTCTGTAGATTATATTTCTTTAAATGTTTTTGGATATATACGATAAAGTTTGATAAAGTGCAGATTGCATTGTAATGAGAACACTACAAATGTAGTTATTCACTTTTAAAGAATAAATTTTGATCACAAACAATTTGTAAATTACTGCTTTTATAAAACTAATGAAAATATTAAAGGACACAATTTTAAATTAAAACTTTCATTATTTTACTAAACAAATTCTAAAATACATGAGGTGTAAAAATTAAATGGCATCTTTCTATTAGAAGAATAGACCCTGACATGTAAACTAAGTTGCTATTTATTTATTTATTGATTGATTCATTCATTTATTTTAGTAAAAAAATAAAATAAAATAAAATGAAAAAAATGTTGGAAAAGTTGGGCTATTACAAAACATCACAGTTTTTTTTTTTTTTTCATATTTTGATGGTCACATGTTAGAGATAGTTTCTCAGTAGGATTGGAGACATCCGTAAACATAAAACTTAATTACTTAATTTCAGATCACTTAAAAAAGTTAAAGGGGTCATATGATGCAATTTAAATTTTTCCTTTCTCTTTGGAGTGTTACAAGCTCTTGGTGCATAAAGAAGATCTGTAAAGTTGCAAAGACTAAAGTCTCAAATCCAAAGAGATAATCTTTATAAAAGTTAAGAGTCAACCACGCC